TTCTTCAGATTAATGTATGCATCAAATGAAATCTTAAATATCAGCCTTCTCTTAAAGTTGAATGCAAACTTCTTCTTTGAAATTCGTGTGAAAATGCCTTTAATAGTTCCTCCTTGCTTCTTTCCGGTAATCGATTCCACCTTTGACAGAAAAATCAGTATATATCATCTAATGATAATTTATACAGTTCCCTCCATTTCCATGGTGCCCTCAAGCAGTTAATCAGAAATATTTTTATGTTTGTTTGTTTTCGGTTCCGTATGCAGCAGTTGGATCACATAGAAGATACATTTATTTTTGATTCGTTTTCTGCATTTTTTTAGCTAGAACTTTGTATTGTCAATTTTCGCAATTGTAAATCCGAATGTTCATTTAATTACTTTCAATTTTTCATTTCATAGTTTTCCAGCTATGCAGTAAATCATTGCTTTCGGTTGAAGTATTGATGTTAACGTCGTAGTGTAACCCAATCGAACCGATTTAAACAAAACAAGTATATTCTGATTCAGCTCATTGTTTTCATTCTTCTTTCACTTTCTCCATCTTCGTCTTCAGTTTTTCCGAGTCTTTCTGCCTTTTTCCTTTGGGTTCAAGAATGGATTCAGTCTCCTAATCAGTGCTACTTCCATCCCTATCACCTCTGATCTCACTCTCGTCCAAATGGGTATCAAAACATATTTCTCCCAACCAAATTTGTGCAGCCAACTGTATAGTTTTCGCTGTGCTCCTCTATTTGGATTCTTGGCCAAGTTTATGTGATCAGTCCATCTTTTGTCGGGTTGTCTTCTTTTCCTCCCCACTATCATATGTCTACACCAAGGTGAAACTCCCTGTACTAACTAGTTGCTCAATTTTCGTTGATAGCCTCTGTATCTGTTCCCACTCCTGTGTCGTGGTGAGGTCGTCTGATGCTGAGGTGTCTTCTACCTTCCCGACAGATCTTCGGCGCTCGAAGATGTGTAGGATAAGTCATACTCATCACTCCTGCTTGATCTTGTACTAAGGCTCTCGTAATCATCCTCACTTGTGTTGCCGCCAGTTGTATTGGACATTGATGTTATCTGGATCTGGCATGATCTGTGTTACAAGATCAGAAACTCGGTTGAACTCCCGCCCCTTGTAGGTGATCAATCCAGGAACTTGCCTCAATGCCGAGATCGCTTGCGGCTTGTCTTTGTACCTGATGTCATACATCTTGCATAAGACTTTCCATGTAGTGAAGACGAAGGAGTTTCATGTCCGTCATCGGTTCGACCCCAAAATTAATGCTCCGTTTTGCCTTCGACTTCTCTGCCGACACGTTGCGTTAATCTTCGTTCGTCCTTTCTTGGGGTGTGGAGGGATTACACATCCCAATCTGCTTTTGCTTGGCATGCTTCAACTCGGAATGCTGCGGCTACCATGTACTGAAGTTGGTAGTCCAACCATTGTCCCCACATATCCATTCGGATGAACCGAAGACGACACGATCGGAGTGCAGGTACGAGTCGGTTCATTGATCTTCTGCAACGTGCCCTTCACAACCACCAGATCATACTTTAGTACCTTCAGGTTGTTGACCTCCTTCTGCACTTCCGATACCATCCTTTCTACTTTATCTTCCACCTCTGCATTCTTCTGACCGGTTGCGCTTGGACCAGCTTGATTCTGTCCCCCTTGGTTCATCTCTGTCGGCTTCAGTGCTTCATCAATGATGGACTTGAACGCATCCGGAGTTAGCTCAGGCTTCTTTGCGGTGTCTTCCTTATTCGGAGGAGCTGTCTGCTTTTCACTTGTCTTTTGTGTGAGTTGCTCCAATGTCTTGAGAACTTTGTCCATCTCCCGGCGGAGCTTAAAAAATTCTTCCTTTAGATCCGTTGTAAACCACGCTCGATTTTCCGGTGGGGGGAAATCATTCCGTCTTTGCTACCACAATGGTCTCGAGAACCACCTTGGGAATTCTGACTCCGTCCTTCTTCTCTGTGACAATGGTGATCTTGACTTCTGTGTTCTATCTCTCGAAGTTTTCGATCTCCCCCTTCTTGAGCGCTTCCTATGATGAGTGTCTACGCCGCCTCCTGTCCAACGATAATTGCGAACCCAACATTTTCCTTGAAGCTTGGATACGTCAGGTAGGTAGTATTCGTACTTGAAATCAATACAAAACCCCACAGCATCGTTGATCGTCTTCAGTACATACCAGATAAGTAAAATAGAGTCTTCAAAAATCGTTGAGTAATCTCCACGCTATAATCTCCAACAAATTGCCACTATGATATCATGAAAGAAAAGGGTTACAAATGATGAGACAGAGATAAAGACAGTGAATGTAAAATGAAAGAGTGACATGTCTATATAGTGCCAATCATCGCGGGTACCGCCCGCAAGTTCTAAGCACCGTGAATAGAGATAAACACATGCAAATGTAGACAGAACGTGCGAGGTTTTACTTTCACAGCATACACATGCAAATGTAGACAGAATGTGCGAGGTTCTACTTTCATAGCATGCACATAACGTCCATGGCATGCGACACCAGTCACAATTACCCTTCTACCTCACTGATCAGGTAATCATTTCAGCCACTATCCTCAGTATTCATACCCTTTGTTCCCAATCCTTCTCCGCCACTTTCTTTATCCTTGCAGTGTACTCATCATCTATCCTCAGGATCTCCCGCAATCACTCTCTGTGTTGTCCTTGTCCTCGTCGATTTCCAACATGCCTTCAATCTGGAGTTATTTTCATCATATCTAATGA